TGAATATCAAAACAGGTCCTTTTCCATATAAACTGATGATTTATGGTCGATTCCGTCTCGGAATTCCGGATCGCATGAGAAAACCAAGCCTGAAAAACAAGCAAAGGAAAACAAGTCCTTTTCGTGATCGTTGAGAAGCACGAACATAACCCAACGACGCCGCCGAAGAATACTTCGGAATTTTCACGGAACTTCCGTGCAAATTCGCCGCGGCCAGAAGCAGGATTCCCGGGTGCATTCTTCCCCATCGCTCGCGAACGCAACCGAGAGATCGCGAACGCTGACGAGCGTCGTGCCTGGCTTTCCGAGACTGAGATGGCCGAAGACTGACCGAGAAAGGGAATTCTTTTTCCAGCCAGGATTCATGGTTGCTGCAGCTTTTGCTATTATGGGAAGTGGCAGATCTCCGTAGTGCCCAAAAATATAAAGATCGATTCCCAATAAAACCAAGAAATCACGTTGTGAGGCTAATTATTTTGGAGACCCCCCCCTCCGTCTGGATGGACGAGAGACTCCTGTGGTATGTCTGCACCGAGACGAAGCATCGCGCCATACATCCAAGGTAACTGCTGCCTTCTGCAGTTATACGAAAGAAACCACAAAAATAAGAGTAAAATCATTTACGGACATTTACCGAAGCGAGCGTCGTGAAATCGGCGACCTCGCACTTTGAAATGCTTTCTGGAAAATATGGGAGGAGTGGGAACGTATGGATCTCACTGTGCTTCAGAGGAGCTTGCCGTCCCGGAAAGTTGCATCCATCGTCGAGAAACCATGGGCACCAGATAGGACGCGATCGTGAATGGAGGAGACCCCAAAGTATGTACATTTCGTGATAATTAGCTCCGGAAAGTTAATACGGTATCCACGGTCACCCCCGATGGAGATCTTCAATGATTCCGACTGAAACAACTAAGACCTAAATGGGGACGATGAGAGGCTCGATCCGCCGACAACATATTCTTCCATCGACCACCCCGGATACAGACGCCATCGATCGGTTTTGTGACGGAAGCAGCAGACTCCGACGGAATCCATCCAACTGATGCTCGGCGGCGAGTCTCTCGAGCGCGCGACCGAGCGAGCCACGGGCCGCGTGCGATCGTCTCATCACGGGAATCGGCACGAGGGTTCGTTTTGGGGGTGGGTCGTGCCTTTCGTGGTCTCCCGATGCTCTGGCAAAGAATTTTCTATTTTTTTTTTATATTTGCAAAAACTTCTATTAAGAAGCATGGAAAGGGGGAAGGGGAAGAACGGAGATGCTTCAATTTCCCCGACAGCCACTGTTACGATTCCTTCCCAGATGAGCCTCTTATCACTGCCATTTCTCTTATCCCGCCACTCTTCCCCCGTTGCGGGCTCAGGGTTGGGGTGGTCAAACAAAGAAAAAAGTGATATTTGCACAACGACATGGGTGTCACGTACTAACAACGTATTGATACCACAGAAAGATTAAACGACCGTATCATACATAAATAAAAAATATGTCCGTTGAATTTTGGTTAAGATTTTGCTGACTGGACGAGTAAGTGACGAATGACCGACCCACATTCTAATAGCACGATCGAAAATGTCTTTGCAGCAGGAAGTCCCCCTACCCTTTCGAGCTGGTTTCATGTTAGCTGGTTTTGGAGATTGGAAATTGTCATTCGGTAGAAAAAGCCGAGGAGGCGAAAGGGGGTCGGTCTATCGAGGTCACACGACCGCCGTTCTGACTTCTTCCTAGAAAAGAAGCAGAACGGCGGTCTGTGGACTTGGCTTAGGAGAAGCGAAGCGATATCAGCTGAATACGTATTCGTGCAGTACCACTCTCCGAGACGCATTGGACTGTCCCATGAATAGATGTAATGGTATGACAGGCTATATCTTACCAGCTTATAACTAATGTCCTCCCCCCCAAGGAGCATTTGTGAGATTATGACAACCACCGATGCTTGGTACATACAGTATATAGGGATCGCATCGGTAGGCTATCAACCCTAATTCCTGTTCATATATCCGCCTATGGAACGTTGCAGGACTATAACTGGGTTTTCGCGTGTGATCACTTCTGCAAATGCAACCCCGTTTTGCACGGGTTTTGGCTCAGGTTCGGGTTTGCTTTCAGTGAGGTCTTCGAGGTGGGTCTAGCAGTTTCATGCAAAATAAATCTTTCTCAATTTTACTGGATATTTTCAAAAGCTCACAGGGCAACAGTGGGAGGAGAAACTGGTTCTAATCGGTTCACATCTGGCCATCCACTCACCCCCAACTTCTTGTCCGGTCGGCTTCAAAGGATGAAAGTGATGGCACCCGACGAGACACGCAGAAGGGCGTGGGTCTTAGGGTTGGAGGAATAAAGCGATGAGAAGGGGGCAAGACCACCGCATAATAAGGGGCTTTTCATGAAGGAGGAGCGGAGCGACGATATTAGATGCCTCTAGATATCAGCTATTCATAACATAACGAGACAAAAGCGAGGTGAGACTGGTTCACTCCACAGCTAATCGATGTAGGAGGCAAAGAACTAGAAACGTAAATAGAAGTTCGTCTGCCTCGAAGAACATCTCAAGACGAACATCGGCGATGAAATCGAGAGAACAAAAGCCAGATGGAGCGCCAGCGGCAAGCTGAGCCAGATCGTGAAGAGTAAGATTTCCACGTGGAAAGAGGACAGACGTTAATCGATACATATTATAACGGCAACGAATCGGGAACTTTGTCATCGATGAAGACGGAGGAAAAGTCAAAGAGCACGGAGAGATCCATGCCGGAATCACCAGAGACGAAAAAAATACAAATTGGACGAGAGAAGGGACATGATCCCACGTCTTGATGAAGCTGTGCTGTAAAGGAGGAGTGGACCTGAGCGGAAGCTCCTAGCACTCACGGGAGGTCACCCGTCGACTAAATTAGTAACGGAATGATAGCTAAGAGATGGAAAGCGCCGAAGGTGCTGACGAAAGAAAAGTGAAAGCGACCAGGTCACAAAAATAGATTTCAAGACGTCGAACGGATGGGAACGGCGGACAGAATATGACATGATGTTGATAGGAATGGGAGATATCGGTATCTCTCGCATGGGAACATTGTTCGTCGTCTTCTTTTTGCGAAGAGGAACTGTGCCAAAGCATATTTTACGCCTTGTCTCTTCCAATCTAAGCCTGCTTTAACCTCTCGGAAGGACGGTAGAAAGGAAGCGAAACTTCTGATAGTGTAAAATAGTGAAGTAAAATTCAGCACGATGGAAGGTAGGAGCATTTGAAAGGATCTCGACCGGAGAGGAGTTGAATATATTAGACAAATTCAGAAAGAATGCGATCGTGTGTGGCATGGGGCATGTGCCACAAACACCTGGATCAGACGAGTAACCATGGGAACGAAGACGGTTGAATCGAAGCATAGGCAGAGGATCGACAGTGTGGCAGCTGTCGAGGCTAGATCGTTTCCCTTTGAATAGAAAGAAACGTTCGGTGTTTGTTCATTCTCGTTGTCACCTGGCTCCTTTTCCTTCCTCTCTATCAATCTCAACTACCATCGATCGAGGTGGGTCATGTGGGGGCGCGTGTCGCTAAAGGCCTTCGGAGGAGGTCCGGGAGCAGGAGGAGGGGGAGGAGGGGGAGGAGGAGGCGGACCCCCGGGAGGAGCGAGCCAGTACGGGCCCGGTCCCATCCAGCTGTCTCGCATTGCCGGGGTCATGGCTCACGAGAAGGCTCGCACCACCAGCTTCGCCTTCCCTTCCCTGCAAGGTCAGGGTCAGGGTATGGGTGGGATTCGCAGGGAGTTCAAGGACACGCCGGCCGTCCTGGGCGTCGCCCTCCCATCGGATCCCCTTTTGGCCGGCAACTTCATCAGCAAGGATCCTATGGATGTCGGCGTCCAATGCGGTCCTCTCACGTCGCTCCACACGGTCTGCCCGTTCTCTTTCCCCCCTGAGGCGAAATGTATGCGGAATTTAACATGCGATAGATTTTTCCATCGCAGGTCCGTATTGTACAATATCCTCCTGATGATTTATTTATTTTCGGGTGGCAAAAAAGTTGAACGTCGACTCTGACTTTAATGTCAGCAAATAGTTTGCTAGATATGAGAAATCACTCGTTCGCTCTTGAGAGAGCTCCTTCCGCATGAATTAGCGAGAATCATTCATTCCGTTCCGATAATATATGGCCAGATAGTGCGTTATACTTAGAATTGTAGTGCAGAATGGGCCTTTTCAACACTAATTCCCGTCCTAATACTACAAGCCATAAACTGAACAAATTGGTTTACTTGCCCATCTAGCTATACGCACTCCAAATAGTAATAGTACGATTGAATAATGCCGGAAATTAAGAAGTAAGTGCTTGAGGGTCTTCATGCCCTTTTTTATTTTGCCTGCCGAACACAGGTTGACCTAGGGTGCACATTACTATATTAATTCCGACGAATTAGGCACCCCGCGTTTTTTCATGAGGCAAGAGAGCGCCTCTTCTTGGTCCGAGAGTCAAGATGAAGAAGCTAATTATATATTGTATAAAACATAGTGCGCCAATTTGCATGGTTTACGTCTTCTCAAATGTTTTCACGTTTGAAGTCTTGTTTAGATTTTTTTAAATGACGGGATCCAACGCAATTCTCACTCTGCTATGTACCGAAGGGTTGTATGAATTTGAGAAATTCCAAATATTTTCGCATGAGACATGTAATCTGATGCCAGTCAACCGGTTCATTTTCATGCTGGAATCGAACTTACTTCGTAGAATATACAGAGTGGAGCAGAAAGAAGTATACACTCCTTCGCGATTCATTGCATACTTAGGATAGTAGGGCATGCACCAATGTAGCTACGAGGCATGTGAAACACCAAAGGACACTGCAACGAAAACGACTCGACGTAACTTTTGGAAATAGCCGCGAACAACGGGCCGGCATTTGCGGCAGCGTCGGACCGTCGACTGACGAGCGTTCGCACGTGTGTCAGTAGGGATGCGCTCGCTAGTCTCGATCGTTCGTTTTCGAAGTTCAGCAATGGTTGTTGGCTTGACTGCATTCGCATCCGTCTTCGGGTCTCCCAACGGGTAAAAATCCAGAGAATTAGAATAAGGTCCTCGGCAAGGGGCAGATGAGCTCCCACCGCGATCACTATTCCTTTCTCTCCTGAATATTAAAAGTTAGTTATGCTAAAGTCTCGAAGGCGGATGCAAACGCAGCCTACGAACATCGCTGAACTCCGACAATGAACAAACGAAACTTGAGAGTTCATCCTTGCCGACATTCGAGCTAGAGTTTATCAGTCGGTGGTTCGGCGCTGCCTTAAATACTGGGACGTCCTTGGCGGCCGTTTTCATTAGTTACATAAAGCCGTTTTCGTCGGAGTACCTTTACATTGGTATACCACACATACCTAGTAGCTACGTTGTTCATACACCCTGCAATCTTTGTACGCACGTAATAAATCTTTTCATGAAATTGATGTTCGACATAAACTAATTCGAAGTGTAATATTTTCAGTTGCCCTTGTTCTCAGTCGGACTTTCAGTATTGGTCCAGGGCTAATGTTCTGGATATTGCTACGAGCTGATGGGATGGTACTCGTATTGCTTTCACATTCACCATTACATCCAGTGCTAATGATTGTTTAAAAGAAAGTCGAATTTCGCTCTCAGTGACTGAATCCTTCCGCTGAAGGATGGAAGAAACACAATGCTATCGTCGCTGTGCAGATGAACACAGACCGAGCCGAGCTGGTGAACGGCGGGATGAACCACACGGAAGGCGGATGGCCGAAGGACATCAACCCCAACGAACTCGACCACACGGCACGATTCAGGAAGAAGATCGAAAAGGACGAAACCTTCCTCCGCGCCATCAAGGACCTCGGCCACGTGAGTCTATCTCTATCCGCGTGCAAAAGAAGCCAAGCAAAGCCGAGTCCTTTAGTATTAACTTTCGTTCGCGATACCATCAACATACAACATGATGTATCAACATGATACAGACAGCGATAGACAAAATGACACTGTTCTTTTACATACGCGAGCGCCAAAATTAGAAGCGACGATTCCAATCGAAGTGAAACCCTAAAATTGGAGGAACATAGCAATACGTAATAGTGTAATTGAAACTGAACCTTCCAGGTGCAAGGTCACCATACTCCTACTCGTTATTTCTCTTTTGACTCGTGTTGGAGGCCGTTAGCCACGAACCACGAGGCATTCATCCCGGTGCGAAAAACAAAGGCAGAGGCACTATAATATTCTGACTTGCATGTATCGTATGCCCGAATGCACAAATCTCATTTAGAGGAGATAAAGAGCGAAAGAGCTTAAGCTATTTAAGCTAAAGAGCTCTTTTTCTCCCATAGAAGTCTGTGTATTCTTAAAGGACCGTTAAATAGAGGTGGTTTCAGCATTCGGGCATTAGTTTTCATGTTTCTCCTGGATTTTCCCGATACAATTAGGGCTAATAGTTGATATTTGGTGCGAGACGAAAGCACAATATTAGTCTCTACTGTTTGAGCCACATCTTTCGTCAAATCGAGCGACAAACGAGATGACATGAGGCGAACCCATAGATCCATGGGCAAACGGACTATGGTGCAGTGGACGTGGGAACGGCCACTCCCCCAATGCATACACTCTGCATTAACATCGCATTCTCGTTACTGCTACGCTTGTCAGTGCTATGTTTGCAATTGTCTTCGACTTTTGGTCGCGATGTGAGCCGAAGAGACGGCAATCAAAGACGAGCAGTTTCGCCCGGGCAGCCTCGAAGCCGCATCAGGCCTTGCGTTTTATGGTGGATTCCCTCATCGCCATGCGTCGACGACGGTGTCTTCAGCACGCACTGGAAACTTCCACACTGCTTTTAGATTAAATTGGTACCTCTCCTGAAGCACTTCCACCGATTGTAGAGGATGGCATCCCGCGAGTAGGTGGTTAAATATTAATAGAGTCCTTCATGAGTTTCTGATTCCCAAACTATAGAACCCTGCACTGTTGCCCGGTTCGGAATCTCCCTGGTTTACAACTAGGGAGATTCCCACTCGGGTATCATCAGATATAGCACGATAAGTAGGATGGCTTCGATCCTCCCACTTTTGCTTCCGGTGGCTTGGGACCAGATGGGTGCCATCATGAGAATTTTGCTTGCGAATAATTGCATTCCCTCAGATTATTATTTTTTAAAAATATTTTCTCATGGAGGACATCTGGGGCCTTTTTCACGAAACTTCTTTAACTTTTCTTTAACTTTATTTCGACTATATTTCGACTTTATCCGGACTCAAAATAAAGAAAAAAATAGACACCTTTGGAGGTCTCTCTATCTCGACTTTAACCTCTCTGAGGGCTACGGAAACTCACCTGTGTGTACTCTCAATAACATGCCCCAAGCGTTGCATGGGCATTCTTTCTGCCACTTGTGACTTACCGCTCTCCGTGTGAACACGACCACGGCTGCAAGGCTTCATCTAAGTCGAAGGCAGCTTCGTTGGGAAAGAGTACTTCGCGACCGAAAAAGCCCCTTGGAAGAGTGCGACGATGAAGGACTCAGGAGCAGATTCAGACTCTCACGGAGCCTCATCTTGGTTATCTGTGTCCTAGTCCAGGCGAAAATACAAAGGGGTACTGCCCGTTGGGGAGCACTACCAATCCAGCTGATAGTATGTGTGACACTTCGATTCCTGGCCACAGGCTCCACAGGCTCCATGCTCGGTAATGGCCATGGCCTTTCCATTCCTACTATATTAGTAGATGGCAGTGGCGTAGCCAGGGGGGGGGGCTGGGGGGGGGCTGGGGGGGGGGGGCTCGTCCGCCCCACCCCAACGAGGCGAAGTTAGCCCCCCCAACGTTCCGCTTAGCCCCCAATTAGCCCCCCCAACTTTCCTCTTGGCCCATTGACGAAAACCTGGCTACGCCACTGGTAGATGGAGCTTGTGCTTCTGATGAACTCTTTCCCGACAAAGCTGCCTTCGACTTAGATGAAGCCTTGCAGCCGTGGTCGTGTTCACACGGAGAGCGGTAAGTCACAAGTGGCAGAAAGAATGCCCATGCAACGCTTGAGGCATGTTATTGAGAATACACACAGGTGAGTTTCCGTAGCCCTCAGAGAGGTTAAAGGCGAGATAGAGAGACCTCCAAAGGTGTCTATTTTTTCTTTATTTTGAGTCCGGATAAAGTCGAAATATAGTCGAAATAACGTTAAAGAAAAGTTAAAGAAGTTTCGTGAAAAAGGCCCCTGGGCTTCGGACGGCTGACAGAAGGGTTTTAAAGGAAGAACGAGACTGGAAAGAAAGGGGGAAATGGTCAGAAAGTGGATTGCCCTAATGCTGAAAGTTAACGGTTCTTTAGGAATCCATGGACTCCTATGGGGGAAAAGAAGCTAAAAGGCCCCTTTATCTCCCTTAAATGAGGTTTGTACATTCGCACCTGAGCCTCTTTAGCCTAAACGCCCCTTCATCTGGCCAAAGTGAGATTTCCGCATTCTGGCCAAAGTTTTTCGAAGAGGGTAGGAAAAGGAAAGGAGAAAAAAGGAAGATGGGAATGCGATAGGGAAACGAGAGGTTCGTCGGAGCCACTGGAGTCTCGCACATGTGGTCCGCGGCGTTTCAGCTTGTCTTTCACGCGTCTGCAGTAATGAGCAGTAATGCGTCCTTTCGTTGAGAGATCGGCCGTGTGATTACATGATTGGATCCACGGGGTTTCGCCGTTGGGGGGTCCCGTGAGCGTCAGTCGACTACACGCAGACGATTTTCGACGGCATGCGGTGATGTTTCGTGATGGAACACCATTTTTCAGAAATGAACGACATCCAAGGAGATGAAGAATTTCTCATGACTTTCTTAAAATTTTACTTATGGCAAGATATAATTAAAGCAAGGGGGAGGAGTCGGAGAAATCATATCTGCGCAGAAACGCGTTTTGTGGGTGGAACGGCTCGGAAATGAAGGGCATGCTGTGTAAGTCGACAGAGTGGCGAAGCGAGCCTGTGGCTCGGGAAACCGTGCAATACGATTATATCGCGAAATCTGTAACTTGCGAAAAAGCCCTCTACATTGAAACAAACTCTATTAGGGATGGATTTTATGAATTCCATGTCCGATCATCTCGCATTAGATCATAACTGTTACGAAAATCCCCTTTCGGGTCAACAAATATTTGCAACTTTTTCGTTTTCGTTCCTAACGATCCCGATTCACCCTCACTGCATTTTCACATCAGATGTCTCAGTCTCAAGAGAGTTTCGGGACGTATGAACATCCTAATAGCCAACGGACGGATATGCGGGTATTTGTATTCGATTATTTATTTTACAATTGAGTATTAGTCAATATTCATTTCAGGACAGATTTTTGAATGATAGTGGCACGTTTGATGACTTGCTTCTTTCGTTGCATCATCTGAGCGAGAATAAATTTTCTCAGCCTTCAATGCTCTTGTGCCCTCTTCAGCTACTGACGAAGGATTTATACCTCAACAATGAGCATTCACGGTCTTCCGGTGCGATGATTTTATGCAATGTTTTCATTCTCAAGAGATGAGGAGACTTGCTGGTCCTCCATTTCTTGAAATGAACCGTCAAAGTTCAACAGGAATGTGGGAGATGGCGTTGGATCTAAGGATTCTCTGTTGGAACTGCTTTTTTTTCGAGCACCTTTTGGCGTTTCCATCGTGATCTAAGGATAAGTGATGCGAGCCACACGAAAGCATGTTTCGGAATTTTCTTCCCAGTGCTTGAAACCATTATTTTTTTGTCTAGACATCGTGGAAATTCTTGGAAGGAAATATTTTCTGCCTGCCGATTCTAAGTATTATTACGGGATGTCGCAATGCAAACGTTACCACAGCCCTTCGTGACTAACAAGTGAATGAATGAAAGTAAGGAACCTAAGAATATGATCGAAATCGACGAACAGATCAGCATCGTATGTACAATGCTTCCAAGGACGGCTCTGACAAACGCGATTAGATGAAATTATCAATGTGAGAGGAGAGAAAGAGAACGTGCGACTTGATTTCGCCTTAACCAGCGAGGTAATGAGCCGTCTAGGTGAAAGCACCCGCTTTTATGGTGGAACGGCTCGCTGACGTCATTACATGTGCAAGATTTTCCCCTCTGTCCGACCCCGGCTGAATAAAACGCACTTAACATTAGAGTCGCATTTTTTTTCCAATGGTCCATCCCAAAAGCGCAAACACAACCGACCATCCAACAACAGCGCAGAGCAGCTGGCTTCACACCTAGCATATCGTCTGTGACTTGCATTTTCTAATCGGTTTTTTCCACCATAAGGAAGGGGGGTTACCAATTCGACCCCCAAAATTGTGTGATGATCAGATCAGATTGCCAACTTCGACTCTGGATACACGATACAGATCGCGATCATCGTTTCTGAGTTGTGGTTTTGGAAATATGTTTTCTCTTGTGTGTGCAAGACTTGCAAGAAGCCTAGTAATCCCTTTCTGGAGAATTCGTTCTCCGTCCCATTTCGCCTCTCCAACCCACGATGAGGAAATCCCCATAGGAAAAGAAAGAAAAAGAGAAAGCAGTGGACGGCAGCACACAAAGCCACTCTGGATGCACTCCGCTTTTGCCTTTTCTCCTTTTGCTTTTGCTGCCTTCTTTCGAAGGCCCGTTTTGTTCGGTGCGTTCTGCTCGGTTCCGCTTCTCTTCTGCCTCCTTTTCTTCATCGCGAATTCTTTCTTTCGAGAGAAACTTCTTTCCATTGCTTTTGGCGTGCCTGGCTATGTACCATTACACATCAAGACGTAACTTCATATCAACAACATTTCGGGTTTTTGAAGTCGTGAAATGCTAACGCGTCTGTTACCCAGTGTCACTTACTTTCAATCGACTTCCTCCGATGTGTAGTCCAGCGCCAATGCATTATTAATGTTTAATACTTATGTGACGGGTAGGAAGGTAGGGAGGCTGGATGGACGAGAGAGGACGAAAGAGAGCCAGGGGACGGCCGGATATTGAACACAGGCCTCCTGATTGGTCAGGTGCGCTACCATTACACCACCGAACCAGGGACATTCAGTCGTGCCTCTCAACAGTGCCTTCATCACATATACACCTGTATATTTCAGTCACGAAGATAACGTGAAAACGAAATGACGTTTCCCGAATTGGTTGCGGGTAACCTGGGTATTATCGTGCCATTCGCGAGAATTGCTCTGTATGATGAAGTCCACGTTTCTCATTCCTACGATGCATGCGACCTCGATGCTTCACCCTCTGATGCGAGAATCTTCGCTTTCCAGTCCACGATACACTGCATTCGGCAGAACAACGCCGTGGACATCTACGAGGAATACTTTCTGGACCTGGAAACGGAGGGGATGCCCTCGGCGTGGGTCGTGAACGTGTTCCGCGACCCGACCGCGGCCGTCGCGGCGACGGGGAAGAGGACCGTCTGCAAAATCTCTTGGTCTCCGGATCGGAGTCACAAGTTGGCGGCTGCCTACGCGAGCATTCAGTTCCAAGGAAACACTCCGGAATTACCCATGAATTCCTTCATCTGGGATGTTGGCAAGTCTTCCCGGCTTTTTTTTTTACGAGCAGAGGGAGGGAGTTTGCAAATCGAATCGCGACTTTCATATCGTATATCGTGAAAAAAGGGAATTCGAGGAAATTCGAGGAAAAAGTGCTCGTGGCAAATCTTCGTAATTTGCTTAGAATATTGACTTGCGACTTCAAATCACAAATTGAATGACTTTCGCTCAATCGAATCATGCAATGACTTGATGTACCAACAAGTGATGCAAATTAAATCTCGGCTTGTGATTTAAATCTAATTTAATTCAAGACATGACGTAATATTGCCCACCTTTGGTTACGAGACTCCACGCAAGTGACGATGACGACGACGATCTTCATAAATGCAGAGAACCCGATTCAGCCGGACCTGCGACTCGAGCCCAAGAGCCACCTCGTATCCCTGGAATACAACCCCAGAGACGGGAATCTTCTCCTCGGGGGGCAGTTCAAGGGTCAGCTCGGCGTCTGGGACGTGAGGCGGGGATCGGCTGCCGTGGAAATGACCCCGATGGATCGGAGTCACAAGGACCCTGTGTATTCCGCCTTGTGGATTCATTCGAAGAGCAGCGTCGAGTGCTTCTCCGCCTCCACCGACGGACAAGTTCGTTCCATCTTCGCATCTAAAATGCATAATGGATGTTATTGTCTGCACCTTATTTTAATAATTTTCGTGCATTCATTATCGTACGTAATTAATAATCTCTTTAACACACCGAGTGCCAAAACTTGAAACCTTCTGAATATTTTAATTTAGATATTTATAATGAAATTGATCAGGATTCCATCTGTGGCTGTCGGCAAAAACCATCCACCATCCCTCGTTCCTCATGAAAATTTTCCATGGAGCTACAAACTGTTCCACATATATTCGGTGATAAGTATATGTCGATGTGTATTTTTTTAAAAATCGATCTCGCCCTCTATACAGTATTTCTTTAGTCGCCGCAAGATTTACCCAGTACAGATTGGATATAGTCTTGGATTGACGGCGTTCGTCGTGGTTTAGGTGCTTTGGTGGGACATCCGGAGGCTGTCGGAGCCCCTAGAAAGTCTCATCCTGGACTTGAGGAAAGGCGGAGTGATGGAAATGGAGAAAGCACTGGGAGCATCCTGCCTTGAATACGAACCCACCATGCCGACCAGGTTCATGGTCGGCACTGAACAAGGTCTCAGATCCCTCTGTCCAGGAAAGAATGAGGGGAGGGGGACCCATGGGAACTCTGGGACACTTTTATTGATTTCATGAGACTTTTCCTTCTTACTTTTGCTTCTTTTGTGTGTGTGTGTGTGTGTGTGTGTGTGTGTGTGTGTGCGCGCGTGTGTGTGCTTGGGGGGGGGGGGGGGGGGGGGGGGGGTTATTACCCTGTGGGGGTGGGGGGGGGGGGGGGGGGGGGGGGGGGGGTTGGTTAACGTGCCCCCCTGGCTCTCCCGATGCTACACCACTGATTACAAGACAAAAGTACCTGCAAGGAATGAGTCTTGCTCGTAATGGAACAAGTCAATCCATGCAAGCTCTTTCTTAAGCCTTTGTTAAACAAGGTAAGGAAAGTGGTGTCCACCCTATGGGCATTAGCACATCCATGTTAAGTCCTATACGAGTAGACATCTCTAGGATCTTCGTACATCCCATGGACGCATTCGGCATCAATCCTGAGGATATCCTGGTGTCCCGTCCCGGGAATGGTCTTGAAATGTGTCACGAATATCTTTCGCAGGAACTTCGTTATATTCCGTTGGTTTCATCATGAATCAATCCCGAGCGAGTCTTCCAGCGGGTGGCATCTCTTCGACTGCCTCCTTGCGTGACTTTCTTATCTCTCGCGGGAATAAAAATCATTTCGTGACATCTTATATCACACATCAGCATCTTTCCACGTGCTGAAATAGCGTGTTTGATAAGGTACCTGAGGTAATGTCTTTTTTCACTCTGGAATCTTTCTCCTATTGGAGTCAAAGGCCTACTCTTTCAGACATTATGTTCTTCCCGACTTTGTGACGGGCAGGCCTATTTTATGAGCTGGCGCCATCTCGTATCGATGGTGGAATTGGAAGGAACATCTGGAATTCTGTCAATGGTGTCCTGAGGTAGACACTCTTGAGACATCTTCAGGGTGTTTTATGCCGATGTTCCATTGAAGGCCCATAAAAGTGATCCCTGAGATGCCCGAATATGGTTTTCAGTGGAATGAGGGGACGTTTGGAGACAAACGGGACGTCACCTGGATCACCCGTGCTACTGTAGCAAGCCGTTAGCAAGCTTCCTTTCAGTATGTCGTCATGGATTATACAGGCAAAATATTACTGGACATGAAGAATGGAGTGGTGGTAGGATCCTTGATATCGTCCTGGTGGGACTCCTTCCTTGTTGAAGGGACGACCATACGTACCATTGCTGCTTCTATGGTGACCTGACTTTACCTCCCTTTACCTGACAAATATTTTTTACCCCCCCTCATATACCGCTTTTGTACCTGAGGTAAATCTCAGGTAAGAAAGCGTTACCTTTTCTCTCTTTTCACCTGTGTCTTCCTTGCATTTTGCATTTACTGTTTAACCGTAATTTACCTTTTGTTACCTACAGGTATCTCTTACCTCGAACTTACCTCTTCTTTCAAGAATACCCTGATATAATTCTCACCTTATATGATAGTTTTAATATTAACTCTGAGGCTATGATTAAGATATGCTAATCACAATACTTATATGGGTGTTGTGGTCTAGGAATAAAAGCATGACTTGCACAAGAGAATCACATCGGGAAATTTTCGTTAAAATGTATTTCTTAGCTATATTGGCTCACGACTTGGCGGTCTGATCATTAGTTTCAGAATTTTGAATGCATTTTTACATTACCCTATTCCGAGTTAAATACAGTCAACCCTCGATATAGCGCCACTGTTGGTCATCGCCGATTTTGGCTTTAACGAGGGTGGTGCTATATCGAATTAACTATATCCTGTATTATGTAGGCCTATGGGGACATTTGTCAAGTAGAAGAAGTTGGCGATAAGCGAGGGTGGCGCTATATCGAGTGGCAGTATAACGAGAGTTGACTGTAGTAGACTGTAGTAGTTCACAGACCCTGAGATAAGCTTAGCCTAACTAAAGGGGAATTCCCCTGAGCTTCAGATGAAAAACGGGGATTCCCCTATTTTTCCGCCTCTCTCAACCTGTCAGAAGACTCTTCGGGTAAATATTAGATGAAAAAGCGGTTAAATATAGCTGAACGAGGGGGTAACGTTTAGTATAAGCTGTCTTCAATTTATTTTATAATTACATCAATGAGTCATGGGATGATTTTTTCTTATCCAAAACCGTAGAGTCACGTATTCTACATTGCTGAGTTGCAGCTAAAATTTGAAGACTCATATCTCCTGTAAGGAAGAAGGGAGAGTAAAGTGTCACCTTTTGGATTGCATTTTAGTTTCTTTTCATTTTCAAATACTGACCTTGCAGCTTTGGGATGTGAGGTGTGGTTGAAAGTGGGCATTGGCAATTTATTGCATAACGTCCGTTCACATGCGAATTTTTTGTTGGTGACGAAGCACCAGCAGCTTGAGAAGTGGTTCTGGGCCTGTTGGGAAGGTTGAGGGCAAGGGACTCGTGTAGGGAAATGCTATGGACATACCTGTTTTCAGGAATGCAACTAAAGGGGCGCATCCTTCGACATGTTCAGTCCTCTCAGAGATTCATCTCTAGGAAGTCCTGATCCTTCGTATATGCCTCGGAAAGTAGTGGAAGGCACTTTCCTCATACTGCATGAGCTTTCATATTTGTGACTGAAGGAGTGAAGACCACAGATTGACCATTATATTCCATCCACGTTCAGAACTATGAATCCGAAGCAATCAAACCACAAACATTTATTAAATTCATCAGATAAGTTAACGTGAGGTTTACCATGCAATCGTTGAACGCGTGTTGTCACTCGACACTTCGCAAGAAATTTCGTAATTCGCTTTCTGAATCGCAGGTACGTAGCACCTAACGATTCCAACTTGCGGCTGTGAAAATCTGTTTATTAGAAAGTTCTTAATCTTTGGCATTGCTTTCATGCAGGGAAGGTGATAATGTGCAACCGGAAGGCTAAGAATGCCTCGGAGAAGTTGGTGGGATCGTACCAGGCCCACGTGGGACCTGTCTATGCAGTTCAGAGGAATCCTGTCTTTCTCAAACACTTCCTCACTATCGGAGATCGCGGTGTAAAGATCTGGGCCGAGGATGTCAAGGACTCACCTATCCTTTGGACTAGGTATGGATCATTCCATAAACCATCGGTTAGGATTATCTCAGCAATGTTGTATCGTCTAGCAGCCACCCACGAGGATGGACGCGAAAGCTGCGGAGGGTATATTATGAGGAGAGACCAGCAAAATTAGGATGGTCATGGGGCTTTTCTGTCTCCAAAGACTACATTCTCTTCACCTTCACCTCTTCGGGTTTTTTTTTCAGAAATGTTTTATGAAGGGAGACTGCGATAAACTTGAAATAGTTACGAGGTTTCAGTCACATAGATTGGAGTAAGTTTCTTACCATCAATGATCCATTTTCCGCAAACAGGGTACCAGGGTTCCACGAGCGGTAACTGATTGACAGCTGTCATTAACAATTGTGGTCATAGTTATTGGAGAAAGCTGGAGAAGCTTTTCCACGATGAGCCTACCGAAGTGTTTTCACGTGACCCTGACTCTCATTCATGTGGCATTTCCCACACATGGGTGTCGGAGTCAAGAGAAAAAATTCCCGACCCTAGAGAAAAAATTAGAAGGTGCTAACAGGCACATCCAGAGCTGCTCACAGTAGTTTTGACTCATTTCTTCCTTCAAACAGAGCAATGAGGAGATAAAAGTTTGAGCATATCCAAGAGTTTTTGACCCCATAGACTCAGAATAAGTAGTTCGGACTCATGCCATTCTTTCCCTCCTTTCCAATAAAATTTTGAATAAACAGCGCGTCTGTTGATCAACTTCCTACAAACTACATTTGCTGGTTGGAAGGAATTATTGGTTGGAATTATCCTCGGGTTGGTCAATCAGTACATGACGAAATTAATATAGACCTCCAGCTAATACCACTTTAATACTCGTCGGAAGCTCAATTTATCAACTCATATTTACGCTAATACTAAAGCTACTTATTAATTTAAAATCCAAACCCATTATAAGTTCTGAAAATGTGTGTTGGCGCATGTGGGATAAGGTAATTTGGGGGAATATGACCCTACAAAATGAAACCTGGTCCTAACGGCCCATCAAGGTCGAATTTGACTTTTACAATGTTTCCAAAGGATTGATTGATATCTCTCTTACTAAATCCCAGGAAAGTACATGCAAAAAAGCACATGGATATTGTGCCTTCGGGTCTTCTCCAAGTTGGTCTCAAGAGGCCATATTACCCCCTTCCCCCCCTCCCCTTGTTGGGGGAATACGGCCACTTCTCAAAAAACTACCCACGGTTTTTGAGGTAGGTGTGAAATATGCTGGAACATGCAGAATATCTTCAAACATAACAAAGGTGGCTCAGCAGTTGAAAAAGAAACACATCAAACAAAGAAATACATTACCTGAATCAGACCTGCTGTGAAAAGCAGGATTGCAACGCTTTTGGCTTTGAGCAGCATCAACAAGTGATTGAGAGTCTGCATCTAGAGACGGTGTAAGATAAGAGATCAAACATAGATCAAAGTGAACATGTGCTACGGGGGTGAACTAAGAGATCTTACATTGCAGAGAAACGTAGCGTAGTTTTTGCACGTACTGTATGCATAAATGGTGCCAAAAAATTACAGAATGACATTTTAAAATTTTGTACGAAGGATATTTACCTGCATTCAAATGTCGTGCCACGAGAATTTCTGGAGTACGTCAAGCAGATGTTCAGGAGGTGGTGCATGAGCATATCCTCATGCACGGCCTCCTCATGTACTGCATATTTCGTCCAGATGTCCACTACGTCTATCCAGAGGATGTATATAGGATTATCTTTTGCTGCCTAAGGTCCCACATGAAAAGAAGCTGACACTACCAATAGGTCAGTGCGGTGCTTCCATGGATTTGTCTATATTACCCCAAATCGAGATGGCTATATTCTCCCATATTGGCTTGCATGACAAAATTGACAACACTGCCCGCAAACCGCAAGTGAAGGGACTAGCACTTTCTACAAGCATTCTGGATGGACCATAGAACAACCTTGAATAAATGGTTTCTGTATCCATGTTGCTATTAGGGAATACACGCTTAAGTTGTTCAAGAACCATATTAATTTCAGGGCCATGAATTGAAGAATCGCATGCACATGACTTTCAAGACATCGATGTATCCCAAATCCTTGTGAGAACTGGATTAATGAGCAGGTCTAAACATTTCGCTAATTGCATGGACTCTTTAATAGAACAATTTTTTAAATTTGCCGAAACTAATTATTCAGTCTGTTAGGGGTTTCATTGCGAAGGATTATATTACCCCAATGGCCATATTCCCCCAAGTTACCCTTCTTCTTTTGAGCATATAATGATAAAAGAATAGAATAAACAGTTCGGAAGTTTCATGTAAATAAGGAGTTTTGAAAGTTTGTGGAATGCATTTGTGAGGACATACGCCATTCTCTATGATTGATGCCAGGCCAGGGAGGGCGTTTGTGGTGGATGGCTGTTGGAGCATGTCTCGACCGTCCACATTCTATACCGTGAGTCACCTGGGGATCATGGAAGCTTGGGACATCCTCGCCTACCATCACAAACCCATTCTCAAGCTCCAGGTAATCGTGTCATTCTGCTTCATGGGCTGTATTGTGTAGGATGTTAGATACGTCTGGAAGAATTAAAATAAATTCGCATCATGAGAAATGCTTCAACTGAGCAACAGCAGTATTGCGAAGCATTTAAGTACTCAGGCACTAAATTCGTACTTACTGTCCACGCTTGAGTCTTTTTGCAGAGGAGTACTTTAAGAGCAGTGGATGCTGTTGTGATTAGTTGATTGTGATGATAGTTGCGTTGAGTGCATGCAATGTTTATTGAAAATACCCTCCAAGGGCATTGAAATGCTTGTCCTACCGCTCAATCTGATTTTTTTCCGGCATTGTTGTTGAACAACATCGGCATCTGGCCACCATGTTCTCACTGCCTCTACCACGTCATCGTCCGAGTGGTATAGCCGGCCCCTAAACGTCCTCTTCATTGAGCGTCTTCGTGAAAATGATACCAGGTGTCATCACATGCCATGATACTGGCCCAAAACCTGTCCCCTTCAGCATGGTCGTGCCGCAGATGCGCGAGACAAAGACCCATCTCGACATTATTCTGGTCTTCGGTCAGGTACATTGGTATCTGTTTGGCACACACCAATTGGTACTCGAAGGCGATCTTGGACGATTGTGTGCACAGACCCATGGCTAATCCCCTCTTCTGTGACCCAGAAAACCAGAAACACGAGTCTGATTGCTCTCATCACTTCGTCCACCTTCGCGGTGTTGTCGTTCATGATGACATTAGCTCATCTAGGTCTAGGTTTGTCTTCAACGTAGAGGCGTCCGCCACGAAACATTTTGCACCATTCATATGCTGATTTCTGGGACAAACATGTCTCGCCATAAACGGCGACCATTCTGTGATGAGTAAACAAGTGGTTTCACACCTTTTGCACACAAACTGTCTCACATCCCTCTGGTGTTCCTTGGACGTCCCTTCAATAGAGGTAGCCATCTTTACCAGGTTACGGCGCGTCTAATCTTCCTCGAGCAGTGATGCCAATTACATTTGCAACGCTTCTCCATTGTACGCAAGATTTATAGTTGACGTCAAGAAGATGCATCATCCATACGATTTTTGGTGCGAGTATTGCTGTTTTCAATTGCCTGGTCATAGTACTCATCATGCATTTTCTATATAATTTTGGCACATTCATGGTGCGATTCAAGACAGCATTGTGAAGATTATCCAGAATTCATTCCGGCACAAGCAGCTCGAATTCTTTGCTGTAGATGAAACAGACAAGAACAAATTATTCCTATTGTTGTGTGACTTCTGAGACCTTTTATGGCGAATAGAAGTGTGAGGGCGAATGAAAACGAGAATGAATGCTTTCAGGTATGTGACGAGGGTCTCCAGACGATGAGGCAGAAGGACTCTGGTGCCCTGGTGGCCGTGGGTTCCCTCCACGGTCACATCTCCCTCATTCGCGTCTCGGAGGCACTCCTTCATATCACCAAGAACGATCGATCTTCGCTCACTTCCGTATGTTTCATTCCAGATCTGCCACACTCCTTTCGTTTTAGATTAAATGCAGGGTGATTTCGGCAGCAGACGAAATTTACACAAGCCTTCCAGCAGCTGGCTTCAAGCAAAATCTCATTACATTTTTATGATTCGTGTGCATGATTCCGGTTTCGAGAAGTTCCTGAAATTGTTCAGAGCCCATTTGAATCACCCTTCATCATACTTCCTTCAAAATGCATATCTTGAGAGTCTTGCCTTGATATGAGCGATGCGTTGATTGCAGCTGCTGGAAAGGGAGACACACCGCGAGAAGTTGCTGGAACAGCGGGTAAAGGAGCAGAGGGTGAAGGAACGGAGTGCAGCTGGAGCTCGCCCTGGCACCTCCATGGCCATGACCCAGCAGGATCAAGACGAAGAACGCATCCAGGAACTCGTCCGACAAACCGAGATCGAGTACATGGAAGCCGTCCAAAAGGTACTCAGTCACCATCACTCTCTGTTTGTCTGTGCTATTTTCCAGATGAGGAAAAGCTCAAGCTTTTGCTGAGCTTGAGCGCCGAGTAAGAGAACTGATCTTGGAGTATCCATCTCATCTGCGATTAATTTTATACTCATTAGCTCCATTCATTCGCTGAGCGTTCGACTCCTCTTTCCGATAGAGGCCGAGGACGCGTGACTTGGGATCAAGGAAATGCCTAAATAAAGGAAATGGATTCCTTTTTTTTTCGAACTTTCATTCGTTTCAATTCATAGTTTCCTGGTTTAATCCGTCAAGTTGGAAATCCCAAACCAAAAGATTTCAGTTGCATTCTTGATCCTGAGTGTGTTTTGCCCAGAATTTGATGTTGACACCCATGCAAACCACGCCTCAGAGAAAATTTCAGTTGGAATGCATGAGAGATCACTAGGATCACGTGCTCCATTTCAAGTTGGATCTATGTATAACAAAATCTGGTGGCCAACTAGGTTTGTCAACTGGTTTCAAATGGGATGATATCATTAGGAATCAGGATTAAGAATGAGCTCAAGTCGATTAAAATGCTACCTTTATCCTACTCGAAATTGTGAACTGGTTCCAATTGGGAGAAGACTAATTAGAAGCATAGCGCAAACCAGTTTGAATACTTTTTCCAATAAAAAAACAGACAAACTTATGGGATGTATAGCAATCGGAAGGTACTTCGCACGTTCTGAGGAGGCCATGGAAACCATAGAGAGCATCTTCGACATTCGCTTTCTATGCAACTAAAATAGGAGCTACAGATATTTGCAAAGTCCTATTTAAAAAATCACATGCCTAATTGAGAGTCAATATATGACCATTGAATTTCTGAAGGAGTTAATGTATATCGATATACAACAATATATAAATGTATATCAATATACGTTTGAGTAAAGAAGTGTAACCAGTTGAACATGTTCGAAATTTTCTAGGAAAGGAAGTTGGCTTGCTTATAATTGGAGCAGTTGGAAAGTTTTCAGTTAGAAATGAAACAATTGGAAACATGAGTTTCCCATTATAAATATGTCAGCTGAGACTGTTCAAGTTGTAAAACTAACTGGAACCAATGATACCAGTTCACGAGGCCAGTTGGTATTTTCCCCGGGTTCGATTGCTTCTGCCATCTGTAGGGAGACTTTGCAACTAAGTTGTCAAAGCATGGCTGCTGTCCACGTGCATGGACTTTCTTTTTTCCTGAAAAAATGTTTGTTCATGAAGGTATTTCTCATATTTTATAGTCACTTGTTAGGGTAGACATCGCAACCGTCCTCCCGTATGCAATAATTGTGATTTGATTTGTTATTGTCGGCCAAAATCAGAGACGTATGTACATATATGTACATTGAAGATTATTAGCGCTTGTACTATTTCAAGTCGCATACTGATTTACGACAATATTTCATCTGAAATGTGGTGAAACTCTAGGCTTGGGCTCGGCATGTCCTTTCAAGTTGCTCACTACGAAGACTGCTCAGAAAGTCCTTATAATAAACCACTCCTTTCATCACATATCTTGTATTCCCATGGAAGAACGATCTCCAAGTAAGCCTACTCTGCTGTGAAATTTCGCAGAAAGGCCCGAAAATGTTGATATTGCTAAAATTTTTTCGCAAAGTGAGCCCATATCTCTGTGCAGTTTCGTCTCTGGAACCAGAGGAAATGGTTTATTATTGCATTATATTTCCTAACTACTGTATATCCTCAAACTATGCATATGCTGTAAATATGAATTACCTTGCTTACTTACGAAAAGCCAGACATCAAATGAAATCGCTCCATATTTTCTCTCTATAACCACACCAAAGCAGCTTTTGATCATGATCAAAAACTAATTGAAAACAATTAACCTAGATTTAAGTGCTTCCAACTCTTCGTATAATTCCGCATAGAATAAAAATTTTGACTAAAAAGGGCTAATGATCCTTCTGAATATACAGGAGCTGGAGAAGCGTCCGCTGAAGGAAGACGAAGCTCTGGCTCTACTGGAAGCCTTGGATTCGCCGACTGCAAGTATTGCAGTGGGGAGAGAGAGCCCGGAGTCCTCGGATTCTTCCATGCAGCTAGATCGCTGAATCCGTTATCCGTTATAATCGAATCCGCTATTCTCGTTATAGACATCTCGTTGTTATGTTTACACCTACTGCGAGTAGCTATTAACGTCATTTAAGTTCTTCGTAAATTACCCTGTCCTGATTCCATCCGATTTCTGATAAATCACTGCTTCAGCACTCTCTGTCTGTTTGGGTGTGCAACGTAATGGCGATCACTGTGAAAGCATTAAGTTCTGACCTGGGTCACAAAAACACCATGTTTTCAGAGCCTTTGATTTTCCCTCGAGTGAGTAAATTACCATCACTCATTTCAAACTCGGCACAGAGTTGCACGTTCCACAACTGCCTGAATAACGAAAGCGATTTTTGGAACACCCTGTTAACAGAATGGAGACTTGAACCCCGCCTGGTACGTGAAGACCAATAGAGCCCCGGTCAGATGAGTCATTACTTTTAATGATTTGTCTGACTGAAATCTCTAGGCCTTGGAATAAAGAACCAAGTGTGACCACCTGCACGAAGTACAAAATAATTACAAGGGGAAAAATAAGGAATGCATGGGACCAGGGCCGGATTAAGAAGTTACGAGGCCCGGGGCAAGTGAATTCTTGGGGCTCCCCTCCCCCCTAGCTACTTTACGCAAATACAATACTTTTTTTAACTTAACGTTTTTAATTTCATTCGGGGGCCCCCTGGAAGAGTGGGGCCCGGGGCAACTGCCCCCTTTGCCCCCCCCTTAATCCGGCCCTGCATGGGACCTGTGACGATGAGAGATTTTCGGATGCCTGATACAAGACAAATACATGATGTTAATATTCACCATCACCTTTGCCACTCCTTTCGAACTCGCACTGTCTAACCCAGTTTGGTGGGGGAGGGTGGGGGTGCTAAGTGAAGGGTCAAAGAGAGTGGGGAGAGGGATGTCGAGAGACGGACCTATCCGCGATCCAAAACGAAATCTGCTATTAAAATACGGGACAAATACACAGATATAGGTCGTCGCTATCATGAATAAAGGCTTACATAATTGAAATTGGTTTGGCTGGGAGGAGTAGATGCTTTGAGAGGGAGGGGAGACAAAGCCCCTTGCTTCAAAAGGAACTAGAAATTCACTTTCAAGACAAAAAGGATGAGTTCCTGAAATTCTATTCTTTGCTAATTTTACTATCAATACAACGAGGTCGCTGTCACTCGACCAGAGAGACTAGATATAAGAATGACTGAAAGAGTGGTCCTTGTTAATTAAATCCAGTCGCTTTGCTCTTTAAATGTTCCTGTCCCAATCCAAGTCTCTGTAACCATTTTCTTGCTAGTCACGTCCTAGACTGAGCAATCGAGTTCTGCCCCCGTTTCAAACCTGCAGTAGTCAGCGTGGGCAATACATGATTCCCTCAGGATTTCAATGTTTTTCTCTTGCGTGAAGCTTATTTTCCCTTGACTCCAGTCACAAGCGTAGAATGGATGAAAAAAGTGGAGGGAGCGCACAGGAATTCTGGGATGCTGTTATGCACTTAATGAATCTTTTCCTTCTTTTTTTTGTACTTTTGGCTTTTTTTTTCTTGAAATGTGTGGCGGGGAGGGGGGGCGACGCTACGACGCCGACAACAGTAAACTGAAAAAGTCAGTAAAATTAGGTAAATATATACCTGGCTTATGCGAAAAAAAACACGGTCGAATCGAAAGAAAAAGGGTCGCAGTTGATGGCTGTGACATAAACAGAAGCATTTTCCTTTCCAATTAACAAATCCATTATCAAAATATAGGCGGACTTTCTCTCTCTACCTTCCAATACCAAAGGAACGCACGTTATTTCGCAAGCGCTTGCGTCTAGGGTATTGGCCCGTGTTCATACTATTGAAGGGGGAGACAAGTGTGGCCGAGGGAGGGATGATTGCGACAGCACTGTAAGGCTGACGAGGTGTCATGTCTCCCTGCTGGAGTAATACGGAAATCATGAGGTGCCTAAAGCCTAAAGCTCCATGTTCGAGGGCCAGCCTTACCTTGCACAGCGAAGCCCCATGGAGTCGAGGAAGATAAAAGTACTTGAACGGTGCAGTGTGACATTACATTAGGTCGAACGCTCATTCTAACGTCATAGTGCTCTAACATGCCGTGACGTGGGATACCAGTATGTACAAATACGTCTCGACGTTCCTACCCTAACCTTGCGCAAAGTTCATGTCGTTGATTTGTTTCTTGACTTTATCCTTCGTGGCGAAGTTATTATTATATAGTATGTGCAAAAATAGGTATTTTCTCACCCCTGAGAGCTTAGATGGATTGTTGGATCGAAGGCTCTTCTGTTCTTAGCCTAGCCTAACACTTGGCCGATGCGCACGTTAAGCCCTTCAATGTTTCCTTTTCTCAGGGAAGAGCAAATAAATTAATACTATAAAAGTAATTGAATCCACAATGGCAACTGGTGTATATCCTTGAATAAGGCTGGAAAGTTCCAGTCTTTCCTGGATTTAAAGGATCTTGTTTTGCTTGCTTGTGGAGTGAAACCTAATTTTAATTTGAAATACAAATTATAGCATGAAGTCGAAACTGTTTTTAATTATGTATGAAGGGAAACTTAGTCTTGGACAAGTGAAAATTTTAATGAATATCTCAATCCAGTTTCAATACAATGACCTCCCACCTGTACTTATTCATGTTCAGGCTCAAGAAAAGGATGTAGCAAGCACAGGAGTTCAGTTCTATGTAAAGGCAAAAAAGGTAAACAAGGCCAAGGGCCCTGATAATTTGCAAGTATTGGAAAAATTGGCATGAACTCCCAGTATTATTAGTAGCTAGAGCAGAACTATGAAATTCCCACTTGCCCACTCACCAGTGGTGAAACAATTTAGTTTGGTGAGTGAAAAGTAATCAGCCCCTCCCTGCCACATTTTATGCACTTGAAAGCCCCCCCCCCCCCACCTTGCAAAAGGAATTCATCTACAATTGCTATGGTTGAGGTATAACCTTTCCACCTTCCCTCATGTGGAATCAAGTGCCTGCCTTTAATCCCATCCTCCCACCATGTGTTTTTCAGTCCCTCTGCATCATGAGTTAAAATGCTGTAAATTTGGCAAAGGTCCATCTTTGCAGAAGCTATATTTTTTTTACCATTGTGAGGGTGGACTAAGGAAAAAGTTTGCCTGACTGATAAAAGTTGGGAGTTTTAGCTAGGCTGCAGTACATAATCATTCTTGCAGGAATCTGTGGGGCACTGAAAGAAAGGTGAATTCTGCTACTTCCCACCTGCTACTTCTTAGGCACTTATTAAGTTTTTTTTTGTGTAAGTGTGCTTCACTCTATCTGCTGGCCTGCAATTGCACCTCCCCAGTATTGTTTCTTCTGACATGCCAATTCATGATATTGTTTTATCTTCAACAATGGGAAGATTCTTGTATTCTGTATTAGTTTTCAGTCCTCAATTGACAGGACTATAATGTGAGCAGGGATTCAAAGTAGTGCAAAGACTGCAAAATGCATCATTATGGAGAATATTCTGTTTGAAATAACCAACCTAGCACATGGCCATACTGGTACTAAATTGTGTATGGGCATTGACTCTTGACACTTTCGATAAGATTTTTGGAAGGGAAGTTGTTATAATGAAGCTAGGACAAAGCAATACTCCCCAAAGTTAATCTTGCATTCACAATTTGTCACAACTGCTGTAAGTCTGCTATGGAAGTATCTTGCAATGGAATGGTTCTCACTATTTGTCATGTTGATGAGATATATGGTGTTAATTGGGACTGTTGAACATTATTTTATTGAATGAGAAATTTTGATTTTGAAGGTTGCATTTTTTCATTTTTTCTACCTGAAGGCTCTTTGGCCTATTTGAAGGTCACATACTGTCTGCACACTCAGATGCAGACAACATTGCTGTCTTTGCACTTGGATGCAGACAACATATGACCTTCAGCCATTGCCTGTCCATCCCTACCCTGTCCCATGACAGCATAATTTGGTAATCGTATGAGGTGTGACCTACCATATGGCCTGTGACCTACCAGGGTATGAGGTGTGATCTATATAAAGTGCATGGACTAAAATAAGTCAATATACCAATTAAAAGAAATAAAATTTGATTTTGTTATCCAATCACATATACATGGATTAGTGCACATTAATTGATGAATGTAGCCTTAATATCTCTAATTTTAAAGGCCTCAAATCTATTCATGGGGTTAAGCCCACACCACCAAGCCTCAATCAGGTGCCTTGGAAGAAGATCAGGTGTTGTCCCATGCATTTTTCTCAAGATCTTGAGCTTCTGATCTGCCCACAGCCTTTCAATTAACTGGGTATGTGTTCTAATCACTGGGTCCACAAAGTACTCACTGTGGTTTACAGTTTGGTGCACATATCCAAGAGCTTCTAGGCCTCTGTATCCCAGCCATTCATCAGAATGGAGTGTGATTCCAAGTGCCACCTCTGCCATGATTATGGAGTGAAGAGTCAGTTGATCTCTGTGTTCTACCACAAAGAAGTGGCACTTGATTATCCCATCAGGATATTTCTGGGCAAGTCCAAAAATCCATGGCCCTTCCATTCTTCTCCCATAGTTTCTCCCCCCAGCAGATACTTCCTCAAGCTCAGCTTCCTCATTGCTGCCAGCAACTTCCACACCTGCAGGTTCACAATCCCTAAGAACAGGGCTTCCCAACCCAGGGGTCGCAAAGATAATATTTGGGGTTGCGAATCGGCAACTAAATGCAAAGTTACATTTTTCTTTGCGATTTTAGCGCATAGGAAGAGGGGAGTCTGTCTAACTTCACCCAGTGCATGGGGTCGTGAATAGTACGAAAGTGATTTTTGGGGGTCGCGCGTGAAAAATGTTGGGAAGCCCTGCCTAAGAAGCAATCTGCCTCAATTGGCTTTTCGTTTTCCTCACAGTAGGGTCTCATCCATCTGGATCACTGTGCCAGGTCCTCCCATTTTGTCTCTCTTCTCCCAAAGTTGAAAGGGGACATCACGACAGAGGTTAAACCGATCTATCACAGCCTGGTGGCAGTGACCAGTAAGTTGCTCTACTTGGGCAATAGACAGGTCACTACACCAGTAAAGCATAACCTCCAAAGTGCTCAGAACAGAGAAGTTGCTGTGAGCTCAGCCACTGCTGTCAAAGTAAGTGAAGAAATTGTTCGAACGGCAAACCGAATGTGTTGATTGGCACCCTATACTCCTGCACTTGAATGCAGGATAGCTCATGACGGTCCCATCTGGCTTCCTCTTCTTTCGGATGAACATCTTTGTCTCCCCTCCACATCCTAATCTTGCGCACTGAGGCGGAGCAGCTTCATCATGAAAAATGTCCTGTTCTTGCAGCCAAGCAACTGTGCTCTCCTCACTACTGATGATTGAGTAAAACTCTCAGCTTCGCATCTTGGCAATTTCGATCCCTTCTGAGCAACTCACCTCTATATATATAGCCAACTCCAGTCAACTTTTGCTAACCTGGACACCAGTAATCTGGATTTTTTGTTTTCTAATCCCCTGAACCAATTCCTAACAATTATCTGGACATGTTAACAAAGGAAATAAATCTCACTTTGTTGTTTTTTTTTGCCTTTCCCATGCTTTCATTCCTCACCCAAGGGAAAAAAAAAAAACAAAACAAAGGAAGAATACTCATATCTCTTTCGATCTATTCCTCCCCCCTCCCCCCATAGTAGGTCACACTACATACCTGATGTGCTTCAGTAGGTCACACGTCATACGGTTACCCATAATTTTTGCTTGATGTTTATATGAGCTCCCAAATTTCTGAAACTGTTGAAGATAGTTGAAATGTAAGTACACCATGGAAGATAGTTGAAATGTAAGTACACCATGGAAGATAGTTGAAATGTAAGTACACCATTTTAAAGTTTATTCATGCCTCTTTCGAATGCTACAAACTATGCTAAAATATATGAAGTGAGAGCCACAAAGTGTATACAGTAAAACCTCTGATAGCTTATATTGCCTTAGCTTATAACCTCCAGTACCTAATAGCAGGGTTTGGCCCCAAGCATATAAGCTAAGGCAGGTTTTACTGTAGTTGAAAATTGTCCCTTTTTTTGACACACCATATAAGTTGAGTGTGTAGCATTGATGGTATGGAATGTAGTATGTGGTTGAAGTCATTGAAGGTGTTTGCAAAGTAAGCCTATGCCTACAAGAAAGCAGGTTGGTTATGCTGATTACCATTCATGCCACTGAAGTTCAAGACAAAAAGAAAGAACCAAGCTTGACTAGTTCAACTAGAATGCTTGTTTTTATTTGTTGTGCCATCCTGGATATGGTCTCCTAAGATTCTAAGGGTAAGATTGCCAATGATTTGATGCATATGAATATGCAATTTAGAAAAAAAAATTTAAGAGCAAGAAAATACTTTTTTTTTATATTGGAGAATGATAATAGATGAATTTTCAGCTTTCCACTGGAGAACTGAGACTCTTAGCTTTATGGTACCAAGTTAAACATTCTTAAATTCTCTACCTTCTGTTCAGAAAAAGGCTATATTCTTTTTCTCCTGATGGTGGTCAAAATGGGTATATTTTCCCTATTTTCAGATCGTCAAAGAAATGTGAATATAATAGTTTGAGTGAGTCCTTATATGTATCTCTCATCTTTGGGACTTCTGATTTACTTTTCTCCCTCTATGTTTGCAGGAGCAGTATATTGTATCCTCATCTGCTTCATTAACAAGTTGACCACCATGGGGCACACTGGTGTGCCTCACCCAAAAGTCCCTTTTCCTGTGCCAGGGGGCAAACTGGTGCACCCTGTGTTTCACCTCCTCCAAGGGATGTAAAAATTTATTTTGGCCCAGGAAAGTCATCAGGGAAATAAGGCTGTGGCTGTCAATGTGTTAAAAGCATGTAGTAACTTTGTGGCCAAATATGTGAAGACTGTTTGGTAACCATGTCTCAGATCATTTGTTAAATTGAAACTTGTAGGTCCAGCTAATTCCAGGTGGCCCAAAAAAAAGCATCCTGTTTTACTCTTAATAAAACCTACTATGGAAATACTAGATGATTCATTTTTTTTATAATACAGAAAATGTTATAAAATTTGTTTTTGAAAATTTAAAACCCCATAGGTTGCTTTGACCAACAGGAACAGGTTTTGAAGCTTCATTAAGAAAATTTCACTCATTCTTGTATCAGGGCTGCAGTGGTTTCAGCTGTGGACTACAGGTGTATCTTATTTGCTGACTAGAAGCCTGATTTTTATGGCTTGATTTTATGGTAATGTTCTTGACTGTGCAGTGTCATCGTGTTGTATCTGTTGAAGGAAAAAGTCACTGCATTAAAGGTCTGTTTTTAGAAGAAGGGCTGGGGAATACTGAAACTGCTTACACCTAAAAGAGTTTAATTTTTCTGACTCCAGTTTGAATGATACTGTTTTTTGTCCAGACTATCCAGACATTTAGAACTTTCAGCAAACAAATTTTGTAGCATTTTCGCTGTGATACAAGAAATTAAGAACCAAGAATTTCTAGTTAGTTTCATAAGCACAGGGTGCTTTTTTTTCACTAGCCAGTACATGGTATAGTTTTATTCTGGTTATAGGTATACCCAGCACAAAACTATCTATTTTTGTTGCAAGTTCCATGGTTCCATGTGACTAAGCAACCCTCTTGCATCATTGCCTCCTCAGATCCAAATTTTAAAGCGTCATGTATGTTAGGGTGACTGTACATCCCAGTTTTACCAGGACAGCCCTGGTTTTTCAAGCTATGTACTGGTTTGAGTTTTCCTTTACATTATGGTATCGTAGTCTTTCCTGAAAAAAAAAAACCGTCATCCTAATTTATGTTCACTGAGAGCAAAAGTTTATGTTCTACATTTCAGTTGATTGAGGAGAAATGTGGGCTTAAACACTACTGTGTTTCCAGGTTTCATTGTTCCTGTTTCCTACTAACCTATGAAAACTAGGATATGAAATGCTTTGGCCTACTTGGCACCTTTCATGTCTCACATGAATATACTTGAAGAAAGGCATTGGCTGACCTGGTTCAGGCCAACAAACCATTTTAGTAGAATAAGAAAGTGGCGGATAATCATTAGGAGCCTACGTTCTACCATGACTAGGCTACTTTTAGCCCTCTGTGATGATGTGGTAGAGGATTTCCTAGATGCTGATTCATGACTGTGTCTCATCTCCTTGTCTCGATGAGTATGCCACATATGGCTCCCAGTTATTTCCCAGCAGCTGTCTTGTGTATTGGTATTAAAGTGCTTTGTTACACTTATGGTTTAAGCCTATGTTTCAGCTAAATTAGGTGGAAGAGGAACATACCATATATTTAGTAGGGCTAAATGTACAGGGTGTCCATAAAGGTATGACTCAAAAATAATGTCATAATTCAGTGGCAAAGTACTTTATTGCCATTAAACCCCCCATGCATAAACTCACAACCTGTACATTTTTTGTGGTAAGATCTTTTGTCAGAAATATCCATATCAATCCTCTATATGTCCATCGTCTCACTGACAATGCAATTCCCAGTGGTACAAGAATGCTATCCTTGTGTTTGCTTACCTTTCCTGTGTGAGGCTGGTGAATGCTTCATGTATGGGATTCCATAGGACTGTCACATTACACAGTTTCTCTGCATACACCTTTTCTTTGATTGGGACAAAGGGGCCAGTGAACTCTCCTGATCTCATACCTATGGACCAGCCACATGCAGGAAATGTTAGTGAGCACATAGGCAGCACTCTTGTTCCACTGGGAATCATCAGCAAGACAGTGGACATGCTGAGGTAGTACTAGCTGTGTTCTAGAAGTATGGTTGTTTTCTTTTATCATGGGGCCTGTATGTCTTTCTGTAGAATTAGGCCTACTTTATTTAGCTACACATAATGTTCACAAGTACAAAGGGATGAAGATGATGAAGCCCAGGTTATTCATTTCTGCAGGCTACTGCATCTCCCTACAGCTGCATTGAATTGAAATTTGTGAGAAACATTTTATAATCCTCTGGACTCCTCCTCTGGTGGGACTGGTATGATTTCTTGTAAGAAGACAGTGACTGGTCTCTTTTTGTGAAAGACAAGCAAAATACTTTAAGAGAAAACTCACAAGAAAGATAGAGAATGTTGGCTGGAGGTCATGGAGAGGAGAACCCAAATGCATCCTGGCTGAATGGCCGTGGGATGTGGCTCAGTTACGTCATTGGAGTCCTCTTCCTTCATCTGGTACTCCTTGCTGTCCCCTTCTTCTCTGTACCTGTTGCATGGACGCTCACCAATGTCATCCACAATGGTGTAAGTTTAACAATTAAACTGTCTTCCTCAAGTCTTAAATTTCCCACTGATTGACTATTGATGTGAAGTATCAGTGGTAAACCAGAAATTCATTTATCAGTTCTTAAAGTGACACCTTATCTCCAAACATCTACCTTCGCTGTTTTGTATTATGAATTCCTGGGCATTAATCACCATCTCTATATGATAGAGTTATTCTCTGAGTTCTCATGTGCATTTATTTTGGCATTGAGTTAAGTTCAAATTTTGAATTGGACAGGACATCATGATGGACTTTCCCCCTTAACATATGTTTGTAAATGATATAACCACCCAGTAGACCAAATCCAGTTGTGCGAAGGTAATATATTCCAAGCTGTCAAATAATAATACTATTAAAAAAACTTACACTTTTGAAGTTCAATATCTCCAGAACGGAAAGGCGTAGGACAGTGGAATTTTGGGGGGATACTCAGGGGGTCATGGGATTTTATTTGAGACTATTTTGCGAATATTTTTACATTTTTACGTTTTTCCCATATTCGCACTCTTGGCAGGATTACTGCTGAAAGTATGTGATAAATTTCGGTCATAGATAGGGATGTCATGACTTTGACTAAGAATGAGAGAGGCGAGCAAATAAAGCCATTCTACACCAACATATGTGATGCTGTTGTTGCCTTACGAAAATACCGCACAGCACACAACCTGGGTTTGGGGCCATGCTCGAATTTGGTCGACAAGTTCGAGGAGACGGGTTGTGTTTGCAACAAGTCGCATGGAGGCATTACACTAGTTGGTGTAGAAAAGCTCTATTAGCTCGCCTCTTTCCTTAGTCGAAATCAAGACTTTTCTGTCTGTGACCGAAAATTATTTCATGCTTTCAGTAGTGGTTCATTACTGCCAATAGTGCAAATATGGGAAAACATAAAATGTAAAAAATTTTCGCCAAACAATCTAAAATAAAATCCCATAACCCCATGAGTATACTCCTAAAATTTCACTGTCCTATGCCTTTCCGTTCCGGAGATATTGAACTTCATAAGTGTAAGTTTTTTTTTATGGACATCCTGCAAAAACTACGCAATCACACTTGGTTTTGGAAAATTATGCCGTTTAGTTTGTCCTCACGGAGCTATTCACCATTGCGGCATTTATAGAAAAAATAAACTCATAAAGGTAAATTGGAGTCCGGGTTGATCCACCAAAACACATTGGAATTTTCCCACTCGTTGGTTAGCTGCTGATGAACTGAACTTTTTTTTAAATCTGAGTTTTCTTTTACCTCGAAATTTTCCTGCGAAGTTATTAAGTAGCCTCCACGTTATGTCACGGCTCGTGGTCTTTTTGACCACCGGTAGGCCCTGCTCGAATAAGCAAGCCTTAGTTGACCTCGCGGAGGTCTTCCGATTACCTTAAGGTTCCCAAACTGCCGGATATGACAATTCCTCTAGGTTGAGGCTGGCCGCACAAAGACTTGCGTCTTGTCCTTTGTGGGGAGGAGAAGCCTTTGTTAACCTAGTTAAGTTCTTCAATTCCACCTGATTGTAACGTTTGACCTAACTCCCTTTGTTGGAGGTAGATTTCCGTTTATAAGGAACAGCCTTGTCAGATATTTGCAGGAGTACGATAATGTACGTAACAGTCATTTAAGAAAGTCAAAAAAGATTTTTCCTCATTTTTATCGTTTCCATGTTTTGACGGCGATGCTCTGACGCGGTACTGAGATGGAATCGCTAGAGGTTCATTTTTAGGCAATAGTTATATTGTATCATGTATGCCGGACTAGTCCCTGGGAACTCTCCCAACCAGTTTTTCCTACTCCACCCTTTAATAATAAATCAAATAAAGTGAGAAAGAACAATCCCAAGGATGAGGAGACTGAAAAAAAATAGATAAGGCTTACTTAGTGCCGATGAAAGGAAGATTTGTTCAATACTGTAAGACAGTGGTATTCAAAGTGCGGCCCGCGGGCCGCATGAGGCCCATTATGACTTACTAATAGTTTACTTTCTCCCACCTAACCGTTTTATCGGCGCTGATGAATAATAGCGATTAAAAAATTATTAATTTCCAGATTTTGAATCCTTCGCTGAAAACTAACAAATTTAGTCGTTGCCTGTATATTTAGGTACACGTAATACCTATTTCCATTTAGCTGCTTACGTATTTTGGTGTGCACCTACTAAATGCCTAATATTGGGAACCTCCATATACTGTAGAGAAAAAAATGTATTTCCTCGCAAGTGAATGAAGTTAAGGCAAAAGAAAGAAGTTTTTATCGAAAATACACCATGTAACAAAGCAGCGCCTAGAATCGATGCGTTTACGTGAGACCCGACTCCAAGTAGAGGCAGTTTCCGTTACTAAGAGAGGTGGAAGTGAGTGTGGATTTGATAGGAATAAGCAGTTTTCGATTGCTGCTCATTTTTTTAAAATGGGACTTCCCGGTTTAGAGTAGCTTGACCATGAAATCAATGATCGATGGGTTAACCGTGTAGAAATGTTGAATTTTTATCAATGGCGGCCCACTCCAGGTTGACTAACGTTACTAGTGCGGCCCACTCAAAGTGGACCAAAGTGTCCATGAGGCCCTCGCCTCAAAAAGTTTGGGTACTATTGCTGCAAGGGGTCTAGTGCTACCTGGTGACTGGTAGTTATTTTATAGCTCAAAGGAGCATAATTATAATGTCGCTTAAATTGGTATATTATGATGAATACGTATCTTTTATAATATCCATGAAACTTGTTCAAACAAAGCGTCGCGACAAAAAATTTGTTTGCCTCATTGAATTCCTTCCAGGAACTATTAACTGGAAAATTAGAGGAAATCCGCCCACATTTATTCATGCACATTATTTCATGAGTCATGATTAGACTCAGGATAGATGCGGAAAAGTCAAGGAGAATTCTTAGGATTAACCCTGACTATCGATAATAGCCGAGTAATATTAACTACAATAGGAGCGCCATACGCAAATGGACCTGAATCCGCACCTTGTGAAAATGCAGCAAGAATGCATTCTCTATAACATGGGTCTGGTATACCTTGTGTATCTGTCGCATTTGACTTTCCTTATGTCGAACATGCTTTTCCCTAAAATCCGAAATCCACCACAGCGACACATTTGACCTTCCTTAATGTCACTTTTAACGCTCCCATACTGCACAGCGACACGTGTGACTTTCTTTTCACCATATTTGTCTTACAAATCTATATTTTGATGACCATCAACCAAGCTCGTCTTTTCACAATAAATCTAGTCTTCTATTAAATTTATTTTTTTTCCCCTTTTATTTGGATTGCGATGTTTTGACTATTAAAAGGCGTGTGGTCTTGCAACCTTCTCTCTTAGGAGCATCATTCTGGTTGGGAAAACCATTGTTACAAATAGTCATTCTTCTTGGAAATTAAAAACCTTCGGGGAGGGTGCAGAAGGATAGTCACTTTGCCACTCCCTTCAGTGGGCAATTGATGGAAAGGGATTGGCATCTTTCGGTACGTAATAATGGAAGATTACACTGAAAGAGGTCAATATCTAGGTTATGCCAGCTGCACAAAGTAGATCTGATAATGATACGGATTCCATGTCGAACTGTTGACTAACAGCTCCAGAGATATTGGTTCGGGTCGCTGTCGGCAAACTACCTCTGCTCTCATGGGGAGTGTCTACGTAACGTGAGGTAACGCACATGCCACTCAGTATTCTAGCGTCTAGGAAGTACTGGTCCAGTACACCTTAAAAATCACTACTGTCAGTCATGGGCTTAGGCGACTCGTGAGCCACCCTTAAGGTCTCCCGGACCATAGAGGAGCATCCCTGCCTGGAGGGACCGTGATAATTAGAGTGGTGCCACGTTATTCTTGGGAAGAGGTAACCTTCATGGGCCTAGTCAAGGTCTCTACGCTCGCCTTATTGTGTCCTTTGACTTAGCTCACTGAACGTGGTAATTCGCGACGGAATCGTGGGTGGTACAACTTTTGTAGAAAGATGACGTTGTCGTATTCGTGCAGCGTTACAGAATTACACATGACAGAGCAAAAAATATTTCCCTTTCGTCGGTTTTTGATGACGATGTTCTCACTCGCTACCATGCGCAATTCGTTTAATTAATTTTACTTCGAAATTTTGCAATTAAAGCCTGTCCTAGCCATGATAAGTCCACATCAGACATATTTGCCATTGACCCGTAGACGAAACTATGTTCGCAATCAGCTTTGAGCAGTTTTTTGCATTCAGAACAGCAGAATGGGATACCTTACTCTCACTAGGCACCCTTTACAATATCATAATTTTTACACGAGTATAAAGCGTTTCGGCTTACAGCCTATTTTAATTCCAATATAGCCATACAAGGCATTGATTAATGAGCCTCAGCTTCTTAATATTCTTCTCATAAACGGCATTCTGTTTTGCAGAAATAATGCAGAAGCAGTAAGCTTTTGCTGGACAGCAAACTTGGATTTTTAAAAGGTGATTTGAAAAAATAATCACATTTCCATTAGTGCCAAAATGAACATCAATCAGATTTCAATGGACTAATGAGGAAAGTTTGTAAGCCTATGCTGCTATGACAGCATTTTCATCTCTTCCATCTTAAATAGGGTTTGCAGGCTTTTCCAGTTTTGACTAGGAGTCTCCCTGCTTCCTTAGCCTCCTAAGACCTGTGTGGCATGTACACATACCATATCCTGTGGGTTTAATTTTTTTCTGGTTCTTATGAGGTTAATAGTGATCTCCCAGCTGAACTAGAAAAGTTGGAGACCCAAGCCCACCACAGAGTTGATTTTTCTCTGTATGTAAATGATCTACATCCCTCCCACTCTCTTGCTCAAAGTCATCATGATCTGGTCCTTTATAGAATTCCTTATCATCCTCTTAAAGGATAGGTACCCCTATTTCTTTCATAGAATATTTATTTATTCTGTCCTGAAGGCCATGTTCATCTTCCTGCACACATTGAAGGGCTGCCCTTGGGTGGGCTTGGACCAAGGAAAGACAAGAGCCATGACACATTGGGAACAGATTGACTATGGGAAGGAGTTCACTGCTTCAAAGAAGTTTCTCACAGTCATCCCTATACTCCTGTAAGGCTTTTTAACTCTTAGTTAATTCATTCTCTCTGTGGCAATTTGTTCCTGTGGGCATGGAATATATACAGACAAGATATTGGAACTACTGGAAAATGCCCATACCAAAACAGACTCTGAAGCACTATGGATCCTTTCCTTCTCCATGCACATAAATGACAGATGATCAATGTCTTATATTGAGATTGCATAGTCAAGACCTATTAGAATTTCTTTGGTGGCAATGTGAAGGCAGACAGAAAACATTTGCCAAAAATTACTCTACATGATAGAAAAGAACACATTTCTGTGCAGTGTTGTTAGAGCTCTCCTGCTAGAACTGATCCAGATTGCATTCTGGTGTACATGAGCATTCTTTTACTTCAGCTGGGGTGCTGTCAAATTGCTACAAAGGGAATGGGAAATGGGAAGAAGGAAAGTGTGATGAATAGTGTTTGTTACCAAGTGAGAAATGAAGATACATCATCATGATGTTGCCAGATTTTCTTCCCTAGGGAATTTGTTCATCATTGGCTTTATTTAACTGATTCAAAAAGGCAAAATGTACTAAGCTTGGCATGGACAGTGCGAACTGTGAGCAGTATAGGTATTATAGGCTTTGAAAAGGTAGAGATTAGAGATATTGTGGCTTTCTTTGTCACTGTTATTTTTAAAGCTCAGTACATGCATGTTTATATTCATGATAGCAAATATCTTAGACTAACATCAATAGTAGAGCTTGCTATCCACTCTTATGTTCAATTCATCAGATACATATTGTTCTCACAATAGGTTAAGTCAGAGTAGGAGGAAGTGACTTGAACTTTTCTCCTTGGAAAAAAGTCAGTATGAAATTTTAAGATGATTGAAGCATTTAAATGTGGTGGATAATGTGATATCGGGATTACATCTCTTGCAGGTTCATCCTGGCCAGTTTCTATACCAAATACGATGCCATCCACTTTGTACTGAATTTTCTGAGCTTGGTCTCCGTCCTTGTCCCAAAACTCCCAGAAGACTACAAGATTAACCTTTTTGCGAAGTCAGAGAAGGTTTATTGAAACATTTCTTCATTCATCTGGAGCTGTCTTTCAAAATTCCCTTCTCTCAAGTCTCGGCGCATAAGTTGGGGAAAATGTCTGTGATGCATGACAGGATGCACCCTCCAGTGACTAAGAAAAAATCTCCATGTGCTTCCTTCAGTCTTGAACGTGGAGGGAAATTCGGGAGAAAGAATTATAAAGATGATTCACTGATTCCTGTCTGCTCATTTTTGGCTTGGTGTGGGATTCTTCTTTGGTCAGGAAAATGGATCTTTCCATGTGGATTTTTGCCTTCACAGTGGTTCTGTGTTCTTGCAGCTTGTGCTAAGAATGATTTTTTTTTGTCTCCATGAGTTGAGGTAAGATTTCATGGGGGAAAGAAATTAATAATATATTGCTTATGAATTCCTCAAGGCAATGTGTAGTGATATCATTCCATTCTTCTATGTTTTCTGAAATGGGTAAAATGAAGCTCATATTTGTGACATTTTTGAATATTGTGATGCCTATGGAATGGTCTCAGGGAAGACCATCCTAGGGTTTCTATTTTATAAAAGTAACATGAAATTTCTCCTTTGTCTGAAAGATCCATCATTCAAACTCCAATTCAAACAAAGTTTGCATATTTAGAAATTTTCTCTGGAACTACCATCATGTTCCTTAAGTATTCGTTTTGTGCCAGCTGGGGAAAACTGTCTATTTAAAAAGAAGAGAGCTCCCTGCCTATCAGTTATCATAGCTGGGGTTGGACTTTGATTTTGTAGATTTTTACAATAAAAACCAATTATGGAAACAAGTGATAGGCAAGAAAAAAATTTAAATCAGTCAATTTCAGTGCCATAATATTTTTTACAACACACATGAAGTTGAAAAATACAATTTCAAGGATGAGAATTGGGGTAGATTATCTCAGTAAGAGTTACAGATTCAATTTCTTACTGAATTCCCTTTTCTTCTTGTTTCTCCAGCTGGTCTCATCCACATTGCCTCTAAGGGCACACCTGGGAAAGGACATGAACATGTGGACACAGTGGGTTAGATTTCAATTGAATGTGCTGTTTGAAAACAAAAAACTATTTTTCTTTTTATTTCGCTCAAACGCACTGTTAACATATATATTTAATGATAAAATCTAGATAATAAGAAGGTTCTACTATGGCCATAACCATATTTTTCTTGAAGCATGGCTGCAGATGCTCATCCCCTTGTTGATTGGATGGTACAAAGAGACGGATCTTGAATTGCATTATGAGCAGGCTTCACATAAACAATATAAGATCCATTGTGTCTTGATGCTGGTACAGTGGAATGCAGGTGACCAGACATTGCATGGGACTTTGCTGCTGATATTCAATTCATCTTTTGTCACATGTCTTGCATGTACTGGTAGAGGAATAAAGCATTTTACTGAGCTCATCCAAATATCTTCACTTCAGAGAATAAGCGTCACAGTTTTCACCTCAAAGTGATCAAAACTTACTGCGCATGTTATAAGCAGAACTTTTACCATACATCTGCACTGTCAGATCGCTATGAAAGGCTTAGAGTATTTTCATGAAAATCTGTACTTTTATGATCTCGAGGAAGAATATGACTTCGGAATGTTTCGAGTTCTTCTTTATCAAATTTGAAGGGCGTTTGTAAAATATGAGAAATACAGAAATCCCTCATGAAGGACGATTTTTAGGTAATTACATGACAGCTCTGGTAAGCCTTGCAACACGGACCAATTTCGTTTCCGACAATCAGCCATCACTCTTTTATTCATAGTATGAGAGGAATCCTGGAACAGCAGACAGAATTTGATACGCAACCCAAATGCTTCAGTCCAGCAGGGCTCAAACTTTCCGCGGACGCGCCCCCATTGCAAACATTACTTGGCTTCGCGATCCTCCTCACGAACCCTGCCTGGCTTTTCATCCTTCCAAGAACTATTCCTGAGTATGAGCTTACAACCCTGTTATGATGGAGATTAAATACAGGAAATATTTTCCTTATGGTAGGAATGAATTGCGTAAGCAAAAGAAGAGTATCGCAGCTGTTCAAGTACCGTGTTATATCAAGCAATTGGATGATCGGTCACCCAATTTATTGAGAGTAATAAGGCTGCTAGCAGCCTTAAAACTTCTTAAATGTAGACTTCATTGTGGCAATAGCAACGAATAATTATTTTCAACATTCATGCGGCACTGAGATTTTTGTCTATACTGCAGGTACTGCGGAAAACTCAGATTTGCATTGGTGAGACGAGGCAAATGAAAGAAGACTTTTCACAACCCAGAAAGTAGCTGATTGTCTTCGATATTAAGCCAAAAGTTCGGCAAAGATTTTATTGGAAAACATCGCCAGAAGGTGCCATCGCTTGAGAACTCGACCCTAATTATATGTTCTAGTCTTGGGAAATTCTGCTTTGGGTACCAAGCTCCTTTTAGTTTCCCTGTCTTTTCGAATACTTCTTCAATCGAAGGTATTCGGAAGAGTTCCCTGTCCCCTTGCACGAAATTGTACAGTGCGGTTGCCACCTCACTTTTTCAGGTACTAAATTAAAATTATTCTTGCTGTTAGAGCTAGATAGTGGAGTTCTGCTAAATGGTTTAATAATAACTTCAATAGATTGGAAGTGACCTGAGTCATTCGTAATAACCAGCCTAGGCCAATCAAATGGCACATCTGGAGTCATGTGTCTGGAAAGTTTTGCCCCATTCCCCCTTATTCTCCGGATTTGACCTGTTCCGAGTTTCAGAGGAAACCCTGCGTGGCCAAGTTATTCGGACCCGGAAGAGCTCGAGAGGGCCCTGGCCAGGCGAGTGACGGAGAAAAGCAAGACTGAGCTGAGAAATGGAGTTTAGAAGTGGCCAGAGAGTCATCAGACAGAAGAGGGAATATTTTACAGGCTTTCATTTAATCGATATTCCTTATTGAGGGGGATCGGGAACTTTGGTAAAATTCTTGTTAGAAAACTGGTGCACCAACAATCCATAAAGCATTCAACCACACAAAGAGAAGCACTATAATAAAAAAAAACTATGTAGATCTAAAAAGTCTCGAAGCTAGGATGAAACAAACATACTCGGACCAGCGAAATGCAATAAAGCATTCCAGAAAATCAAATAGATTATGTAAACGTGTTCACTAAGGGAAAGCGCCAATGGAAAGTGAATTCACATTTGGAAAAATAAATCCGGCTATCCAGGCCTGTGCTTGAATTTAATCTTGTATTCCTGTAGAGAGAGCCGGAAATGCTCTTGTATTTCATGAAAAACAGCAGCAGAGGAGAGCTCAGAAAGAAGCAGCAGCAGCTGCTTCTCTCTTTTTGTCTTACGTCCCACTACTCTGTTTCAATTTTCCTTTCTCTGGAATACCTTGACTCGAATGAGAAAGAATGTGAACAAATTCAGTAAAAATGAATAATGCGTGTGAAGCATAATTTCTGTAAAATCTACATTAAAATAAAATGTAAAAAATATAAATAAAAGAAGGAATGAAAAGCCCATACCTCTTTGGCACCCTCGCGCCCCCAGTTTGAGAACGGCTGCTCCATGCTCCTTTCGTCTGGAAGTAAACTGGACAGTGTCTGTTGATGTCTTTCTTTTGTGTCTTCCTCCTAACCAGATCCTGTATATAAACCCTTGGATCGAGTGGGAAGGATCCAATCTACAAGATGTCCCATGAGTCACGCACAATAGGGAACATCAGTATCAATCTACAGGGTGGCTCAAAAAAACCAAGCTACTGACTTCAACGTGCAACAGGGGTCTTGATCACCGCCAAGTCTTCATGTGGGTAACTCGGTATTGCTTTGTTCTAGTAAAAAAGAAATATGTGGGAAAAGGAAGAAACACATCTTAAGATATTGATCCAGTAAATAAAATGTGTTCCTAATAACAACTGCTTTCACTGCTCCAACTCAAACAGCAGCCGGGGACCAGGGCCGGCCTTAGGCATGTGCCACATGTGCCCCTGCACAGGGCGCAAATACACCAGGGACGCCAAAACGTGACTGAATGAATGAAGCAACAATGGATGCCTGCCACCCTCAGTTTTACTTCAGAAAGTGGAAATGCCTTCCATTTCGGCGTCTTTTTGGACGCTAGCGATTGACCCTTCTCCCTTCGGGGATGGGGGGGGGGGGGGGCGTTAGGAGTCTCTTTGCACAGGGCGCTGAAATAGCTATGGCCGGCCCTGCCGGGGACTGTTGCAACAGGTTTCCGAATGGGGACGGCCATTTTCATCCCGATGAAGCAAGAAATTGGTGATATACCATATAATTTTGCATCTGCTGCAAAAAGAGTTGCTTCATGTATACCTATAAGCTTGCTCAAATCAAAGCATTGCAGCCTGATTTACAGCACGTTGAAATCAATAACTTGGTTTTTTTTTTTTGTTTGTTTAGCCACCCTGTATATGCAATACTGAGTCTCGATCAGGATGTGCATCATTGAACCTTATGGCTACCTCTCGGTGACTTGCACTTCCACGCATCAGAATTATCTCTACACGTTACTTTGTGCCATGATTCAAATGCAAGATCGGTAATAAAAAAAATAAAGAAAAACGCCACATTAACCTGTAGTGAGCGACGCAGAATGATTTGCCGTTTCATTGCAGGTATTGCGCTGTTGCTTCCCGAAAGTATACGTTTCCTGAAAAGCTACGTGAACTGATTCCTTTGATGGTGCATCGCTTTCTCACCGTCCCTCTTCCCACTCGTTAGCGAATAAAATCCACGTCTCAAAATGTGTTAAAGCAGCGGTTCTCAACCTTTCTTTGTACCACGACCCATCGGGCCCGATTCCCACACTTAGGTGACCCATGAGTTTAGGAACAGTCACGAATGATTCAATAGGACGACTCGAAAACAAACGAGTGAGTGAACAAATACGTGAATGCAGGCAAGAGAAAGTATAAAATACAGGAACTCACGCATAATATACAAGTTCGATTGCTGCCAATTAAAAATGGAGCTATTTCCGCTTCAACCTCCCGCCACGGGGAAACCGGTGGGAGTCTTCCGACTGATCAATACTTAGACCGGAGATGGTGAAGTTATCAGGAGGAAGCATAAATAATTAGTTTCATTTCAATCTGAAATCTCAATACACACTTGATTACCGGAAACGCTCGAACGTGGAACGTATGTGACTGACGTTTGCACTCGCTCGCGTAGAATTCGAGATGAGATGGTATCGATGCCACTAATTTTTCCAATAATAGCTGGAAGAGATTTTCGTTTCGAGAGTTTTCATATGGTTTCCGACCCGATTCCCTCTTGGCAGCAGGTATTGGAGGTCAAGACCAGAATGAACTCATCGAGACCGAACGATGGCATGGAATGGCCGTGGTAATTAAAATTCCAGGCGTTCCATTCATCCAGGTCATGTTTCCGTTAGGTAGGATAAAAAATGATGGGATTCCTGCCTTCATATAGCCGAGAGGAAAGCTAACGCCGCAAATCGTCTCCCTTGTCGCAATCCTTTCCCGAAATGCGGTCTGGATTCTGATGGTGACCTCGCGGGATTTAGGGTTCATGTACTCTTATGCAGAACTTCAGTTTGGTTCTTCTCAGGAATCGCAAGAACAGTGACCCAGCAGTAGGTTCCAAACCATCAATTTCATTTTGGAATAAGACACGAGACACAGGCAAGAATTTGGATCTGTTTGATCTTTTCTCAGGAGTCAGGAGAGTTAGTGATATCAAGAGGCGATTTCGCCCATTGCGATATCACGTGTCGAGGTCGAGCGTTCCTTAATTTTAGGGTAGGCCTAACCCTCTTAAAGCTATATATTTTTGTATTTTTTTTTTTTTTTTTT